AAGGGCAGGGACACTATGGAAGAATTTAGGGGGCATGAGGTGATCGAATTAATGATTTACGCAGATCTCTAAATCACATAAAACATGGGTTCAGGGCCTTCATGGAGGCTTTGCAGGCTGGCGCTGACATCTCCATGACTGGCCAGTTTGGTGTGGGTTTCTACTCTGCCTACTTAATTACTGAGAAAGTGACTGTGATCACCAAGCATAACGATGATGAGCAGTATGCCTGGGAATCCTCAGCTAGAGGGTCCTTCGCAGTGAGGACTGATACAGGTGAACCTGTGGGCCGAGGAACAAAGGTTATCCTGCATCTGAAAGAAAACCAGACTGAGTACTTGGAAGAAAGAAGAATAAAAGAGATTGTGAAGAAACATTCTCAGTTTATTGGTTATCCCATCACTCTTTTTGTGGAGAAGGAATGAGATAAAGAAGTAAGTGATGATGAGGCCTAAGAAAAGACAAAGAGGAAGGCAAAGAAAAAGAAGAAAAGGAGTCTGATAACAAGCCTAAAATAGAAGATGTAGGTTCTGATGAAGAAGAAGAAGAAAAGAAAGATGGTGACAAGAAAAAGAAGATTAAGGAGAAGTATATTGATCAAGAAGAACTGAACAAAACAAAGCCCATTTGGACCAGAAACCCTGACGATATTACTAATGAGGAGTATGGGGAGTTCTACAAGAGTCTAACCAGTGACTGGGAGAATCACTTGGCGGTGAAGCATTTTTCCTTTGAAGGACAGTTGGAATTCAGGGCTCTTCTTTTTGTCCCATGACAAGTGCCTTTTGACCTGTTTGAAAACAAAAAGAAGAACATCAAGTTGTATGTCCACAGAGTTTTCATCTGCATAACTGTGAGGAACTGATCCCTGAATACCTGAATTTCATCAGAGGGGTGATGGACTCTGAGGATCTCCCTCTAAATCTTTCTCAGGAAATGTTACTACAAAGCAAAATTTTGAAAGTCATCAGAAAAAATTTGGTCAAAAATTGCTTAGAATTGTTTACTGAACTGGAGAAGATAAGGAGAACTACAAGAAGTTCTATGAGCAGTTTTCTAAGAATATAAAGCTTGGAATACATGAAGACTCTCAGAATCAGAAGAACCTTTTGGAACTGTTGTGCTACTACACATCTGCTTCTGGGGATGAGATGGTTTCTCTCAAGGACTATTGCACCAGGATGAAGGAGAACCAGAAGCACATCTCTTACATCCCAGGTGAAACCAAGGACTGGGTAGATAACTCAGCCTTTGTGGAACGGCTTTGGAAGCATGGCTTAGAAGTGACCTATGTGATTGAGCCCGTGGGTGAGTACTGTGTCCAACAGCTGAAGGAATTTGAGGGGAAAACTTTAGTGTCAGTTACCAAAGAGGGCTTGGAGCTTTGAGAAGATGAAGAGGAGAAAAAGAAACAGGAAGAGAAAAGACAAAGTTTGAAAACCTCTGCAGGATCATGAAAGACATCTTGGAGAAAAAGGTTGCAAAGATGGTTGTGTCAAACCAATTAATGACATCCCCATGCTGTATTGTCATAAGCACATATGGCTGGATGGCAAACATGGAAAGAATCATGAAAGCCCAGGCCCTGAGAGATAACTCAATGATGGGTTACATGGCAGCAAAGAAGCACCTGGAGATAAACCCTGATCACTCTATCATTGAGACCTTGAGGCAAAAGGTTGAGGCCAATAAGAACGACAAGTCTGTGAAGGATCTGGTCATTTTGCCTTATGAAACTGCACTACTGTCCTCTGGTTTCAGTGTGGAAGACCCCCAAATACACGTGAACAGAATTTACAGGATAATCAAGCTGGGTCTAGGTATCAATGAGGATGACCCTACTGCCGACGACACCACTGCTGCTGTCAATGAAGAGATGCTGTCCTTCGAAGGAAATGACGACACATCATGCAAGGAAGAAGTCAACTGAGCTCTGCTTGAAGAACTACTATGATGTGTGCTCAGGGCTTTACCTTCATTCCTTCTGATAATATGTTTTAGAGGATTTTTTGTTAACATATAAGTCTGTATGGCATGATAACTGCTTAAGGGGAAGATAAGATTTCTTTCTACTTTTAAGTGATACTGTGATACTTTAGGCACTAAAGCAGAGCTAGCAGTGCTTTCTCTAGTTTCACCTTGGTTTATTTTGACAGGTTGACATGTTTGTGGTAAGGCGTAACTTACTGTTAACTTTGTGAGGTCTGAAGTGTTTAGTTATTGAGCCGTATTCCTTAGTAGAACAAATCTTTTGTCTTGGAAGTGTTGTGATATCTTGATGTTTAATGGAATATTTGTTAAAATAGCTTGAGTTTTCTTGTAGGATCTTTTTTTAAACTTTCCCCTGTAGTTTCAATTCTGCATATCCTAGACTTCTAGAAATAAGTACGTTAAAGTGAAACAACTTGATGGTAGAAGCTGCATGGGGCCTGTTTTCCAAAGAGAAGTATTGTTTAGAGGAAGAAACTAAACTTTCTAGGTATACTGCATTTGCTGTTTGAGAAATAATTCAGAACAAGGCCTGTGAATGGAAATGAGGTCACATTCTGCTTTAAGAGGTAACAAATAGAGATCAGTTTAAAAAAAAATAAAATAAAACATGGGTCCTGACTTTACCAAGGGCTACAGTCTGATTTATGTGATACAACATTTGTGAACCTCAGTTTCATAATCTAAAATGGAAATAATAATATCATCTTTACCAATCATTTATAACAATTTTCAATTCTTTTTGTTTAGTATGTTTGTGATACATAATGAATACATTCATTGTGGGGAGTTGGTACACATACATATCACATCTTAGTTCTTTTTACTTCTCCTTGCCCTCCTTTCCCTCCCCTCTGCTCCTATCCAAATCCCCTTCCTATCATGATCTTACCTAGTATGTCTCTTTTCTCAAGCTTCCTTTTTTATTCTATGTTGTAACTCAAAGAAAAGCCACTTTCTGTCTGTCTCTCAAATCTGTTGTGTGCTGATCTGTTATGGGATGACCTTTTTCACATTGGACAATACTTCACCCCTGGGGTTTTCACTGACACATCTTCTTGGAGAAACAGTACTTGTCATACTTTTCTTATTTCTGGGACAAAATATCCAACACCTAAAGTTAAGGAAGGAAAGATTTATTTAGCTCACAGTTTGTAGAGGTTTCATTTCATAATCAGCTGGATCCAAGGCAGGGTGGCACGGCATAGAGTCAACAGTTCATGGTGGCAAAAAACAGAAAAAACAGCAAGAGCAAAAGGGGTGGAGCAAGTCTCTTTTCCTCCCTTATATTGTATGCAGGATACCTGCCCTGGGGTGGGTGTAGCACTTCCACCCCTAATCCCAGCACTAGACAGTGAACTAATCACAAACTGTAGACTTAGCCACCTCAGAAAAGCCCCTCCCATGACCACAGGAGGCTTTGGGGGACACCCAGACACAAACCATAACAGTCCTTTAATCTTACAGAGCTAAAATCCCTAAACACTTATTTGTAGTATTTCTACCCTCGTCCACACTTGTTATACCTGTAATTTCTCAATGCCACCTTCTACACCAGCTATACCCAACATTATAGCAAAAGAATATATATGGTCAAGCCTCATTAGTCGTGGGCTCTGGCTACAGTTTATTTATAACCTTCAAATCAATACTGAAGGCCAACTTCAGAGCCATCCTTAGACATGCATAGAAAGGGAATGAGTTATCTAATGTGCTTGCTGTCAGATGATGTACAAAAATGCAGTGCTTTGCCTCCTTCAGCTCTCAGCCATAAACAAGCGGCCATTGGCTGGTCTGTGCAAAGCTGCATTTTTCAGTTTTGTGCATAGAATGGCTCCAGGAATAGCGCTGAAATGCTGCCTCCATTTGTAAGTGTGTGAAGTCTTTGATGACCTGCTGTTAGACTCGCTGTTGGCTGTGAGCTTAATGGTAATAAATTAAGAGTATATATGACATAAGGTGTCTTCAAATAGAAATATGTAAAATAAGGTTACATATTGATCAGTTGACAAAAATACTGTGCCTAGAGACTTGCCAAACCCAACTCTGCATTTCCTATAAAGCAGTGGTGAGACCATACTCTTAAGTAAAATAAATCAGACACATGTAAAAATCACAGGGTTTCTCTGGTGTGAGAAACCAAAAGTGTAAATAAGGAATGGAATGGGTAATAGATACTGGGAAATGGGAAGAAAATGTCCACATAAGAAGGGGAACATGGGAGAGGAGAGGGGGAAAGGAAAGAAGGGACAAGAAAAAAAAGAATAGAAGGAAAAAATGGAAACAAAGCTTTTGTAAATAAGGAGGGGAAGTGGGGTTGAAGGGAGGGGAGGGGAATGGGAAAAAAGAGGATTGAGGATGTATCATGTACAGGTACAAATTTTCTAAGATGAACGGTGTCACTTTGAATATCTAAAATATACCAAGAAAATAAAAATGTTTTTAAAAAGTAAAAAAAAGTGGTTGAATATTGACTAAGTCAGTGTTTGTGATGACCAAAACTAATGCAAATGCTAAGAATCAGCAGTTTTATATTAACTTTATATGCTCAGTATCTTGCACAGTGGCTACCACCTAATAGTGATTCAAACTGAATTTTGGGTACAGATGTTGTGTGTCTATATTTATATATACACAGGTAGTGACATATCCATATTATAAATATCACATACACATATACTTCACATATACATAGATATGATATACAATATAGAAATATGTAAAACTGAATTTATCTTTCATCCCAAAGGTATACCTTATAGCCTAATTGTTACTTTCTACTTTTGATAAAATAGCCTAGATAGAAGGTTTTTTTAAAAGGGGAATTAAATATTCCTCTGCCTTTTTCATGATTTCATTTTGAGACAGGGTCTCACTATGTTACCCAGGCAGGACTTGATCTTGTTATCCTCTTGCCTCAGCCTCCAAAAGTGCTAAGATTACAGAGATGTGCCACCATGCCATACTTAAATATATTCTTGATACCAGCCTTATTTTTATTCTTTATCTAGGATGCTGGAGAGATGGTTCGTTCCTTTGTTGGTGGTTTAGAACTTGTTGTCAACTTATTGAAGTCAGATAACAAAGAAGTTTTATCAAGTGTGTGTGCTGCTATTACCAATATAGCAAAAGATCAAGAAAACCTGGCTGTTATTACAGATCATGGAGTTGTACCTTTATTGTCCAAGCTGGCAAATACAGTAAGTAACAGATCTTTTTATGTTAAATGTGTATTATCAGATAACAAAGAAGTTTTATCAAGTGTGTGTGCTGCTATTACCAATATAGCAAAAGATCAAGAAAACCTGGCTGTTATTACAGATCATGGAGTTGTACCTTTATTGTCCAAGCTGGCAAATACAGTAAGTAACAGATCTTTTTATGTTAAATGTGTATTATCAGATCATGCAAATATGGCAGAATAATGAACTTTAAGTTCAGAGACCTGCATTCAAATTTAATTTCCACTGCTTATGAAGTATGAGATTTTCTTTAACTCATTTAATTTCTCTGAAACTAATAGATGCACAAACATCTTTAAATTATAAAATGTTAATATGCAAGATCTTTGTCAGATAGAGGCTGTTTTTTATTTGTCACTGGCAAGCAAAGGGATGGCAAATAGAGGTGCTATTATGTAAGTGTTAACGATCATCTCCACTGCCACCATCATCATTATTATTGCCAAGCAGTTGTTTCTGCCTACACTAGAAGAGGACTGTGCCTTCCCCAGCTTTGCAAGCTTGGATTGGTGGCATTCTTGAGCTAGAAGTCTTTGGCAATTGCTTATTGTTTATCTAGAGCTGGGCCAGATATAACAGGCAGCTTTGAACAGTGACCTCACTGTGACTGTGGTATTTGAGTATGGCTTGGACTACCATTTGGAAGAAAAGTCATAGAGCAGACTTTAAACACTAGAAGAATATTTGGTGTAGGATTTGGGTTCCTAAGAGGATGTGCTGGATTCAGTGAAGGACCCCAGGTTGTTTCTGATTCAAGAAAACAATACAATTGATAAACAGAAAATCATATCCTGTTCTACTATAGCAGACCTCTATGAGGTAATTATATACAAAAAGAAGGATGTAATGTGCATAATGAATTCGGAAGTGGAACAGAAGGTTCAATACATTGTGGCCCGAATGGTTCTCAAACTTCCCAGGCTGAAGATTGTGAAGGGAGGCAAGAAGGTGAAGAAATGAAGGCAAGATACACAGAGCTGGGATCAGGTGGAGCCCTCTCTCCAGATGGGAAGAAAGGAACTGCTCAATCACTGTAGTGCACTTATTTATACATTTGGCAGGTTGGTGTCACATGACACCCCTTTGCCTAGCAACCCATTACTTAGATTTTCTCGGGGCTTGGTGTTCTCTGGACTGGAGCAGCTTGTTCATGTGGCTAGCCTCAGGTACTCTTTGTTCTCAGCGCTGTTCTTGCTCCAGCTCCACAGGTGTGATCAATCTCCAGCTTCAGCTGTTCTCTACAATACATATAAATGTGTTTGCTTCATTGTCTTCTCCCTCTTGGAACAAGGGTTATGACCAGAATGTGGAAGTATTCCTAGGGTGGAGGAATGGAGCTATTCCACTTATCCTAGTTAAGTGAAGTAGTTTTGAAGAATATCCAGCAATCTATAAATATTATCATTACTAAGCAACTTGTTGATTTGTAATTTTTTGTTGTGACCGGACTTGCTTAAAGCAAGCCTTGAGCAAATGACTGAAGTCAGATACTTCTTTTATCCTTGACAGCACTGACTATATTCAGTGCACAAACAGAAATTCAAAATTGAACCTTAGTCCACTGGTGACCCATGGGATAATTCCTTGAAGATACCACCTAAGTAGCCAGCTAGCACCTCTCTGGACTCATTGGCATCTTAAACATAAAGTGGATAAACATGATCACACAGGATCCTTACAGGCACATTCCTCAATTTCCTTTCCTTTGTGCAGAATAATGATAAACTGAGGCGTCATCTGGCAGAGGCGATTTCACGTTGCTGTATGTGGGGCAGAAATAGAGTGGCCTTTGGTGAGCACAAAGCAGTGGCTCCATTAGTGCGTTACCTGAAATCGAGTGACACCAATGTGCATCGAGCTACAGCACAAGCCTTGTACCAACTCTCAGAAGATCCCGATAACTGCATCACCATGCATGAGAATGCAGCAGTGAAGGTATAGTTGAATGACTTTGCAGTTTAGCCAAGGTTGTAGATATAGGCTAGCAAGTAACTTAAGTAGCACTCAGGTTTTACTAAATGTGATGTTTGAACACATATAAACTGCCTCCAACCTGGGTCATGGCAGCATTTCAACTATGTGGTATCATGGTTTATACTGTAGAAATGTATGGAGATATAGAACCTTTCTAAATCAAAACATGTAAGTGTACTTAGTAAAATATGTAATCATTTATAATTTCAATTAGGTTGAATAAACATATGGCACATAAACAATTAGTAGTATTTATAATTCTATCTGATATAGTGTTTGTTTAGCACATAAATAACAGATGATATATACCTCCAGAGGGATCAACTAAATAGCAAAGGAAATGGCTGAAACAGTTCCTAGATGAAGGCTTGACAGTCTTAACTATAATGACAGACGATCATCTCAAAGATAGATGTATGTTTTGGTTTAAATCTGTGGTTCAGATTTTCTTTGCCTTTAATTAGTATGCAGTTAGGAAAATCTCTGCACATAGACTTTAAAGTATGTACACATCAAAAACCACCTAGAATGTTTTGACACACACAACACATACTCAAACATATATAAATTATAAACAACTTACTATTAGAAAAAACTGATTAAAGTATTAGTTGTTAACTAGGAATAGTGGCAGGAACCTGTAATCCTACCACTCATGAGGCTGAGGCAAAAGGATCATGAGTTTGAGATCAACCAGGACAATTTAGTGAATTCAGAACCAGTCTACACTACATAGCACTATGCAGTCTCAAAACAAACAGTCAATTCAATAGTTTGTCTGCTTGTACAATATAATTTTACTGTTTATTATCTTAACTGTGAGCCTATGACAACCAGAATCATTTATATTTTGAAATGTGTGCCCAGAATTGATCATTTAGAGAAAAGTTAAAAATTCCAGTTAACTGTATCTAATCAAGCCAAGATATATCATATATGAAACATCTTAGGAAGAATAATACTCTTAAAATGACAATTCATAATTTTAGACAATTATTTTAATTTATCTTTCAACCTTATTATAGTTGAAAGATGTAGTATTAATTTTTCTGAAAATAAACTCAATTTATATTTCAATATATCAGTCTTTCCAGTATTAGTCTATTTTTGTGGCACATAAGCTAGGCTTACATGCTTTTTTTAAGCAAATTTTGGCATTAAAAAATACCTTTTATACTAAGTAACAATTTTTAAAAGTAAGTTATAAAAAACCAGAATTGGTAAAGAATGATAAAAATGCATCCCTTCTATATGATTGTGTTCACACTTTGAAAAAGAAGTGCCATATACATACATACAACCTATGATGCTGTAAATGACAGTCTTTTAAAGAAATGATTGTATGAAAATTAAGTAGCCTGGTAAAATGTGCGATATACAGCACATGCTTGGACAGTTGTCAGCTAGTTGAAGAGTAGTATTTCTTTTTTTCTTTTTTTCTCCTCCATCCCCAAGAATAGTATTTCTTAACTGCTCAGAAAATTTCATATTTCATATATATATGATATAAATTGATAATTTTAAATATAAGTTTAATAAAATATGTTATTGTTTAGTTGCTAGAAATGCTAGTCATATATACAGTTCTCAGTGATTTCTTCAGTTGCAAGTCCAGAGCCACTTGTGAATTGTATTGTACTGTGCAAAGTGATGAAACTGTGTCTACCACACACTCAGCTCGTGTGTATAGAACAAGGTGGCGGTAAGGGTGATGAGGATGAGGGACAGAAAAGAGAGAGCAAGGAAAGTGGGTTTTGCTGTGCTCTAGACCCTGTTCTGGGTCACCTTTACCATGGGGTACCCTGAGGGCCTCCTGTCTCATCTATGTGTCTTCCTGTCATTTCTGCTGGAGAATGACTGTAAAGAACTGGGTGATTTTTTGGTGAGTCCATCTGTGATATAAAGGCGGGCCTTACCATGGGAGATTCTTAGCACAGATGTATGACTGTAGGGGTGAACCCTACATTTCTCTTCCCCACCTGTCCCCATCGTAGATCCTGGGGGTACTGGGGGAAGCATGTTGTCTCCCTTCCCTGATTGTCTTTAAGGAGGAAAAGAATGTGGATGGGGTGTGCTGGCTTTTGGCTGAGTAAACAGAGTTTGATAGTTGCTTGGCTGTGGGGACTAAAAGAAGGAGCAGAGAGCTAATGCCTGTAGACTTCAGGCAAAGTGAAGAAGATTCCCTTAGCCAGCAATGTAAGAAAATATTTGCACATTGAGGTGGTTCAGTTACCTGTAGTGAATGTGTCACCACTAAGCGTATGCCTGCTGACATGTCTGACTTGGAGTACCCTTTATCCACTCTTTTGGCAAATACCTGGCTGTTTCTGTTCCTAATTGCTGCTGCTCCTCACCAGTCCAGTCTCACAGTCTTGCAAGCATTTCTGCAGCAACTGCCAATGAGCAGATATTGACAGACTCTTTCACAATGACTGGAGTCTCCTGTCACCCTGTTGGCAAGTAATTCATTCTGGGGTTAGCTGCTGTGTCCTGCAGTGTCCTCACCAGCCACAGCCCAAGTTATGGAACTTATCTGGCTCATACCCCCTGATATTCATACTGCAGTCACAGCAGAGGAGTGAGCCAGAAGGGCTGGAATGTGTGAGTTCAGTCTCTAGCATGTTCCACTCGGATGACCCGTTGGAACTTTAGGTGCAGAGTAGTGGTGGCAGGTATAAATGTCAGGTGAGTCACATATTTAATATTTAATTTTCTAGTGATCATAATTTAAAACAAGAAAAAAGAAATAAATTAAATGAATTGTGCTAATATACTTTATTTAGCCCAATTTATTCAAAATATTATTGTTGCAATATAGAACCAACATGAAATTACTTGTATTTACTTTTTTGGTGCTAAATCTTCAAAATCCAGTGTGTGGTTTGCTGCATGTCTCAGTTTTGGACCAGCCGCATTTTGGTGCTCCTTGAGTGGCCGGCCAATAGTTTCCTTCTACGACAGTGCAAGTCTATAGAGCAGGAAAGTGAGAGATTTGGGGAGTTCATGGTAGGAAGACATGAACAAGGGCTGGTAAGATGTTTTTGGCAGAGTTCAGAGAGGCCTGGGAAATGTCTCCATTTGCACTTTAGTGGGATGTAAACTAGGAAGAGCCCTCAAAATAAACTTGAGAAGTTAACAGGTTAACCAGGAATGCCAGAAGCCAAACGAAGAGGGATTTTCAATGGGTTTTGTGTTTAAACACTGCCAAGAGGTCAACAGAGATTCAATCTTGATTTAATTATGTTGAAAAATAATCCTGTGTCGGAGCCTTTCCAGGTAAGAATCTCTTCAATCAGTCCCCTGCTCTGGTAAATACAATGCAGTAGGAACAATTCACTTCTATCCTCCTTAGGGTTTTTACACAGACCTGCTGAAAAGTGTCTGCCCAGGTACTTGTATTATTACAAAATCTTGAGAGTCGGAATGCAGAGTTGTTGGAAACTATGTTGAAAATAAGAGAAGTCTAGGAGATATATCAGCTATTTGCTAATTAAAACAAACCTGTAACTCAGGATCATCATCTAAAGAGGGGAAAAAATTGCAGGAAAATTGAGAAATGAAAGCCCATTCCTAGCGCTGAAAAGTGATTAAGTAGAGAAATGATGAGCACCTATGAAAAGCATTAAGCTGATTTCCCCATGGTGACATTGGATTTGTTTTTGCAAATGTCTATACCAGGCAAGTGAAAGTTGCATTATGGCTATAACTTTCTGAAAGGCAGGAAATTGAAAAGATTGCAGAAAATACAATCAGAAGTCTGCCCAGCACTGGCAGAAGGAGAGGAGAGCAATTGGATTTGTGCAGAGCCAGAGAGGTCGTCTTGACTCTCCTGGACTCAGGCCTCGCAGCAGCCAGAGAGCCAGGAAGAGGAATCCAGACCCGCCCCGTAATTTTTAAAGCCCAGCACAAGAAAAAGAGAAAAATATCACTAAATGTTAGTGAGTCAAATAAATTGATTTTAGAGACTGAGGTTGCCGAGGAACTCTGTGTCTGTATAGTTAATGCTTCATCTAAATATACTTTCTCTTAATTAAAGACTCAATGTAACCTTGTAGTTTTCAGTACTTTTCTTACATTTCAGGCATTTCTCTGAGTGCTGGGTGATATGCTACTAAATAATTTAGGTAGGACTAGCAGGTGTCAGTGAATATATACCAAATGTGGAATAATATAGAGACTATTTTTATGATTAACTTTTTAATCTTATTTGCATTTCTCACTTAAAGGTAGAAAAGAATTTATGATTGAACAAGGAGTGTCCAGTAAATGAAATTATTTTTTATCATGATTAACCTTGATGTTATTATATATACATCAAGTACTTTGCTTATTTCATTTTTTTATTTTAAGGAATCTTAATAGCTGCATTAGGAGGTAATTGACATACATAGACACATGTTCAAAGTTTATAGTTTGTGGTTCACACACACACACACACACACACACACACACACACACTTGCAGATACCCATGAAATCATTTCCAAACCAACACAGCGATTCTCTGATGTTTCCTGGTGCCCTTTCCCAAGCTGTGTGGGGGTAACTACTAAGCTTTATTTCCTGTAAGTGTGAATTAGGTTGCAGTTGCTCAGGCTTAATATCAGTGGGTACATGTAATATGTACTTTGACTTTTGTTTGGCTTCTACTCAGCTTACTTGTGTTTAGATTCATCCATGTTCTTACATTAATATTCTATTGTATGATGTGACAGGACTTATTTTTTCATTCAGAACATTTAAATTATTCCCCATTTGGAGTTATTACAAAGAAAACTGGTATGAACATTCATGTACAAATGTTTGTACGGACATGTGCTTCCTCTTGCCTTCAGTGGAGTAGGTGGTTGGACTGTATGCGAGGTGTATGTTTCACATTTAAGGAAGTGTTCAAGCTGTTTGCCATTGTACATTTCTACCAGCGGTATAGGAGAACCTCCTTACTAACAGTCAGTGTGGTCA